AGCAAAAAACCTCTCAAAAAAAAAAAAAAAGAGAGATTTTTGCTATAGGGCGTGTGTGCTCAGTGGAGAAACAGAGAAAGAGAGACAGAAAGCAAGAAATCACACCACAGGGGGGATGGCCACGATGCAATCTCTTCTCTTTCATTCTCTTCTCGGGATTTTAGGAATGTATGCGTGCATGAGTTTTAAGCCACCAGGTCTGGGACTTGAACCATAGTGGATGTGGGTGTTCAGCAACCTAACAATTATGCCATATGTTGGTCCCAGGTTTACTATTAGTTTTATATCAATAAATATTTTAAATTTTTAAATTTCTAACATGATATATACTGAAAATATAACCCATATAAAGAAATCCTGGCCTAGCCTTGGTAGTACACACCACTAAAATGCTCCTGTTCTGGAGACTGAGAAAATATGGGTGGCTCAGGGGACCAATAAGTGGTGTGGTGGTTAAAGTGCTAGATACTCCCACATGGCTGAGCACAGTTTGAGTCCCAGACCTGGTACCTTGCTTTCTTACTTCCTCTCTCTCCCTCTCTCTCTCTCTCTCTCTCTCTCTCTCTCTCTCTCTCTCTCTCCGTGTCTCTCTGGTCAAATTAAAATAAGTGAATGAATAAATAAAATTAAGTAAATGATTCCTTTTTTAAAAAATTGGTGTCTTGGGCTTCAGTACAGGTCCAACCTAAAAACCAGGTATCCCACATTGCTGATTACTTGAATCCCAGCCCCAGAAGATTGAAAAACATGCTGGATACATATGTGTGAATGCCCAAAATCCTAAAGGGATGGAGAAATAGAGGAAAAAGGACTGTGGCATGATCACACCCTATTAGGGGATGCCTTCTCTCTCTTTGGTAAGCATATGCATCTTCAGACCAAAAAGGAAAAAAAAGAAGTTAAAGAAAAAACTAAGTGTAGTGTTATATGCTTACTGTCCTTGCTAGAACACTGAGGCAGGAGATCAAGGTATGACAAGAGCCTAACTCTTTTTTTTTTTTTAAAGAATTTTTTTATTTAACTTACTTTGTTTATTTTTTAAATTTGACCAGAGAGGGGCAAAGTGAGAGAGAGAGCGAGAGAGAGAGAGAGAAAGTGAGAAAGCCACCAGGTCGGAGACTCGAACCGTGATCTGCCATGTGGGAGTCCAGACCCCTTAACCACCACACCACCTGATGGCCCCAAGAGTCTAGCTCTCTAAAAAGAAAAACAAAAAGAAAAAACTGTTTGGCGACCTGAGACCAAAAAGTTTGAAAACTACTGTACCAGAGAATAAATTGCATGCTATACATTACTTGATAACTGGGATGAAATCTTACTTTTCCTTTTCAGTTCTCATAACTTTATCAAATCAGCATGAAACGAATATGTTGATCATTTTAAACATCTTAAAGGAATTACAAACATTAACTTAAAAGTAATTGAGTTAATAGTTACATAATGAGTATAGCTAATAATGGTATCTGCAGTATCCAAAATAAGTTCACTAGAAAAACAAAGAGTATTTTCAAAATTAACTACTTACTTCTCCACCAAGAACTCTGGCCAGTAAGAAAATTGTTAGTGAACCAAATATCCAAATGGTTATAATCCATGAGACCACCTTAAGTGAAAAAAATTCATACAATTAGTATTTTTGTACCAAATAACAATTTTTCAGGAACTCAATTCTCTGCCAACTTTGGCATTCCCAATTCTGGGTCATAGAGAAGTTATGTGGGTTCTCAAGCTAACTTTCCAAAACTAAATAAGAATATAACATGTAATACAATTTTAAATACAAACCGAAAATTCTACAACTACTAATTGACTAAGGAAACCTCAATATTTCAAAATTATTGCAAGAATAAAATGAAATAACAAGTTCTTATTTCTTTTTTTTTTTTTTTGCTATAGGGCATGTGCGCTCGCCAGATAGACAGAGAGAGACAGAGAGATAGAAAGCAAGAAATCACCCCCCAGCGGGGATGGCCATGCTGCAATCCCTTCTCCTCCATTCTCGGGATCTTGGGCACGCACGCACATGCACCCGGCATGAGTTTTAAGCCACCGGGTCTGGGACACGAACCGTGGTCGACTACATACGAGTCCAGCAACACAGCCATTATGCTTACTGCTGGTCCCACAAGTACTTATTTCTGATCCCTTGGTTTATACCATCCTGCAAGAAAAATTCATTCCCAGAAGAAGTTACTGATCTTCTTTGGAAGTCTTTAAAACTTGTATTAACTATATATCTATCCAAGTAATACGATATGAAAAATAAGTTTTGTTTTGTTTTTAGTTTTGCTGTAGGGCATGTGCGTGTGTCAGAGAAAGAATGGCAAAGTGAGAAATCACCCCCAGTAGGGATGGCGACACCGCAATCTTTTCTCCTCCATTCTCCTTTTTAGGAACATACACCTGGTATGGTTTTCAAGCCTCTGGATCTGGGACTTGAATAGTGGTTGGACATGTGGGAGACCAGTGCCTTAACCACCATGCCTCCTGCTGGCCCCCATGTCAGATCATTTTAATTCCTAAGATTTAGTGTAATGATAGAAGAAAGATTCCCGGTTTCTAAAGATTGTTCCCCAAGGGAACCAGCAGTTAGCGTAATGGTTATGTCGCTGGACTCCCACGTAGTCGACCGCGGTTCGCGTCCCGGACCCGGTGGTTTAAAACTCACGCCGGGCGTGTGTGCGTGCATGCCCAAGATCCCGAGAGGAGAATGGAGGAGAAGGGATTGCGGCGTGACCATCCCCCCTGGGGGGTGATTTCTCGCTTTCTGTCTCTATGTCTCTGTCTGTCTGGCGAACGCACGTGTCCTATAGCGAAAAAAAAAAAAAAAAAAGATTGTTCCCCAATTAAAGAAACTAGGACTCTAGAGAAATGGTTGATTCCATAGCTGAGGTAGAGAAAAACAAGACTGGCCTAAAACACTGTGGAGTGAAAAGGAAAGGAAGTGATCAAAAAAGGATGGGATATGCTGAAAGGACAGAAGGCAACTTGATGGAGTTCCCAACAGCTAAAGCTGAAATAATCTGAGCAATAAATGATGATGGTACTGGATTATAATCCAGACACTAAAATAAGTATCCTTCAGTCTACACTGAAATAAAAAACAGAATTAAGTAATGAGAAAGAAGCAACAGCTATTCCTTGAAAAGAGTACCAATTAACAAATGTACAGAGTGAGGGAAACAGAAAAATCACTGCTCAGTGGGACCAGAAGATAGCACAGTGGTTATATCACTGGACTACCACATGGCCAACTGCAGTTCAAGTCCCAGGCTCGGTAGCTTGCCCAAAATCCTGAAAGGAGAATGGAAGAGAAGAGATTGCAGTGTGGTCATCCCCCCTGCGGGGATGGGAGGGAGATTTCTTGTTTTCTCTCTCTGGTGAGTATATAAGCCCTAGAGCAAAAATCTCTCTCTCAAAAAAAAAAAAAAAAAAAATCACTGTTCAGTTAACACTATTTCAGTAATTGTTGCATGCAATATCCATCAATGGATGCTAAAATTAGTAGGGTAAAGACTGATAGAAACAGAATATGTGTATAGGTACAAAGTATCTTCACAAGTGATTTACTAATTATAAAGAGAAAAACATTAACTTTACAGCAGAGAGTATAAGTAGATACCATCCATCACCCTAACTAAGTAATCAAGGTTAACATGACCAGTAATAATATCAGCATATACCCCCTGTTATATACAGAAAAAAGCATAGTCACTTCTGTGATATTCCTGCCCAAAATGCATGGTCTCAAGGCAATCACATGAAAACATCAAGCAAATCCAAATCAAATAACATTTTATGAGGGATATAACAACCTGTTTTTAGTCTTATAACCCTTTGTTCAAATGAGATTATATAAAACAAATAAAACTGGAGCCAGCATGTGGTGTGGTGGTTAAGGTGCTAGAATCCCCCATGGCCAGCCATAGTATGAATCTCAAACTTGGCGGCTTGCTTTCTTACTCTCCCACCCCCGATCAAATTAAATAATAATAAATAAAATTAAATAAATAATTATGTTTAAAAAAACAGATAAAACTAGATGAAGGACTGGTGGTCATAGGAGACCAGAGCCCCCATTCAGTATCTTCAATGGTCTTTGTAACACTTCAACAGACTCAACTGATATAAACTACTGATCTAGGGGTAAATATTAACAAGACCAGTACAGGATGTTAAGGATCTTGAGATGAGGAAGTTACTCTGGATTATCTGCATAAACTCTAAATATCCTGTCTTTAAAAGAGGAAAGTAGGGGGCCAGCAACTGGCATGATGGTTAAGGTGCTGGACTCCCACATGGCCAACTGCAGTTCAAGTCTCAAAAAAGGTGGTTTGCTTTCTTGCTTTCTCACTTTTTCTTTCTGATGAGTGCACAGTCCCTATAGCAAATTTAAAATAATAATAATAATAAATAAATAAAATTATATTAGTCATTTTTTAAAAACTATAAATGAAAGAAGGAAACAGATTTGAGAACAGTAGAAGACAATAACAGGTGATATTTGACTATATTTAATTTTTAACTCTTAACATATTTAAGACTTTTATGATATAAACTAAAAGCGTGGGAAAAAATTTTTTAATTGGAAAAAAAAAATAAAGATGTACTTACCCTAAACTGTCCATATAATGATATCATTGAAAAGAATAGAACAACAGCCAGAGGACCCCAAAAGTCAGGATTGTCTCTCACCACTTGTCTATTAAAACCAAGTGAAGGCATTGGCATCAAAACACATCGGATTTTGTAGTAAATATCCTTTAGATCAATATCTAATTCTTCCCTACAATTTAAAAATAAAAAATTATGAAAAGGCACATACATCTGAATACTAAGACAAAAAGAATTTAAGAAAAGTTTAAATCTGACACTATAGTCTCATTTGCATTTGAGGTACCATGTATCACTGATTTTAGTTTTACATTTTCAACCCTTCATTATCTTTAAAGTTGGGACAAATCTCACAATAGCTGGTGTCATACAAATGTTGTTAGTCTGGAGTGAGACCAAGGGCTTCCAAGAGCTGCCTTTCCTTTATCAGTGTCCTGGAGGCACTAACAATTTAAGACAACTTTAAATAAAAATTTTTGTTTGAGAGTTTTGGGGACCACAATGATAATTCAGACTATAAACCTGTATGAGAACCAACATGGGGTTTAAATTCGCATGGAAAATTTTTTCTTACTACATCCCACCCAGTGCCAAACTGAAACAAGCTTTCTTATCTCTTTTCTATAATGGTGGGCTGCTCATTTGTCCTTACAAGGAAATAACCCTTTGATGTCCCAGTTTTATGTCACCTTAGACTCTTTTTTTAACGTATAAAATAACTTCATCTATTAATCCATAGCAATTTAGAGTTCATAAAATATGGTATGTTAATATTAAGAAACATAGATGTTTTAGCACTTAATCAACCAGTAATTACTACAAATAACTTAGTAATGCCTCAATTTTATAAGGCTATAGGTTCTTCTTTCTAAAATTACTAATTTTTTTGTTTCTTTTAATCATTTTTTTCAGATGATAATTAAAAAATTTCAAGTACTCCGAAGTGACAATTTCTCTAGTCCTGCTCACACTGGCAGCTCTAGAATGCCTATCTCAAAGAGACTTTGCAGTGGTCCTCTTTATGGAACTCTTAATTAACAATAAACCAGAATTTAGAAAGAAAGCACCTAAGAGCCCTGCTTTTTCAGACTGCATAGTTACTTAAGATAGCTGATAGACCCAGGGAAGCTCTAGTAGTGTGGAGTATATGTGTGTGTGAGTGATACAGAACTACCATTTTAATTTTGTCATTCCACAGGTTAGAAAACATTGTCATTATTTATTTTGAACAGTTTAAGTAGTTTTTAAGTGATAGTGAAAATTTTGACAAAAAGTTTAAGATTTTTTACATTAGTCTTTAAATAACATGAAAGAATATAATCATCCCACAGGCTAGCTCTAAAAAAATTTAAAGTATGTATTATTTTTACATACAAGAGTGGCTTTTTATCTTCAGGATCATCATCTTCAACTTCCAAAAGCCAGCCATACCCTCTCTGTCTCAGAAATGTAGTTGCTGTAGATTCTTTAACAAAATCTCCACCAAGGTTTAATTTGACGTCTGGGGATGCTATTGAACCACTGAGATCTTAGGAAAAAAGAGGGTAACACTATAAACCAAGGTAAAAATGTGTGAATCTTAAGCAAAATGAGCATACTCTCAACTAAAATAATTATTTGCATTTAATTTTTAAATGTTAAAGTTGATAGTTTAAAATCATCTTTTACTTTAAAATTTTAAAAAAGATAGTGTTAAAAAAAACTTATGAGGGGCAAGCAGCTGGCATTGTGGCTAAGGTCCTGGACTCCCACATGGCTAACTGCACTTCATGTCCCATACCAGATGATTTAAAAATTACACTGGGTAAGTGTGCGTGCGTACCCAAAATCCCAAGAGGAGAATGGTGGAGAAGAGACAGCAGTGTGACCATTCTCCTCCCCCTCCCCGGGGTGGGGGTTGATTTCTCACATTACCTCTCACTTTCTCTGTCTCTCTCTGGGGATGACTCACACTCTATGATAAAACAAAACAAAACAAAAACAAAAAAACACTTATGAAATGTTTCACAGCTAGTTGGCTAGACCAGTACCAGAATCTTTAAAATTTAAATAGAGAGACAAGCAGATGGTGTAATGGTTATGTCACTGGCCTCCCACATAGTTGACTGGTTTGAGTCCCAGACCCTGCGACTTAAAACTCATGCTAGGCATGTGTGCGTATGTGTCCAAAATCCCGAGAGGAAAATGAAGGAGAAGGGACTGCAGCATGGTCATTCCCCCTGGGGAGAGGGGAGAGATGAGTGCTCTCTGTCTCTCCCGTGAGTGCACACGTCCTATAGCAAAATATTTCACTCAAAAAAAATTTAAATAGGGGACCAGTAGTTGATGTAATGACTATGTCGCTGGACTCCCATGTAGCCAACTGCGGTTCAAGTCCTGGACCTGGTGGCTTAAATTCACGCCAGGTGCATGTGAATGCGTGCCCCAGGATCCTGAGAGGAGAATGGAGGAGAAGGGATTGCAGCATGGACATCCCCCTTGGGGGGTGATTTCTTGCTTTCTGTCTTTCTGTCTCTGGCTATCTTTCTGGCGAGTGCACGCACCCTATAACAAAAACCTCTAAAAATAAATTTAAATAGAAAACACATACATATGATAACATTTTGGATTATCTTCATTATTATATAAATTATGTGCTTCAAAAAAGTTATTATATAAATCCCCTTTAGATGTATTTTATTTATGTGTATATATAAACCATTAGACACAATTTATTTGCTAAAGGATACTTTTTCTCTTTATTCTTCTATTTAAATCATCAAATATCTATACTAAGTGCTTCCTATATTAATGCTTAGTTCTGCATAAATCTGATTATAAACTTTTTAGTTTAGAAAATCATCTTTGGTTTTGGTAAAAATAAAGGGCTGCATTTTTTTCTTTTTTCTTTCTTTCTTTTTTTAGGTCAGCTTTAATAAGAGGTAAAGAGATTCAGTTACCTGAAAGATATCACCGCCCCAGGGGAGATGGCCATGTCACAACCCCTTCTCCTCCATTTTCCTCTCAGGATCTTGGGCACGTACACACGTGTCCCACAGTGTTTAAGCTACCAGGTCCAGGACTTGAACCGAGGTGACTACATAGGAGTCCAGCGACATAGCCATTATGCCAACTGCTGGTCCCTCAGTTACCTATATTTAAAAATAATTCCAGGACCAACCCCTAGCTTAGTGGTTAAGAAAACAGGATTCCAGGACTAGAAGATGGTGTAACGGTTGCATTGTTGGATTCCCAGGTAGTTGATAATGGTCTCAGTCCCAGATCTGGTGGTTTAAATCTCACACGAAGTGCATGTACATGAGTACCTAAAATCCCAAGAAGAAAATGGAGTAGGGATTGTAGTGTGTCTATCCCCCTTGGGGAGTGATTTCTCATTGCCTGTCTCTCTGTCTCTCTGGCAAGCACACATGCCCTATAGCAAAAACCTATCTTAAAAACGAAAACAAAAACAAAAACAAGCAGGATTCCACATGGCTGATCACAGTTTGAATACTTGGAAAACATGCTGGGTGCATATGCCTATGTGGCCCAAAATTCTGATAGAATGAAAAAACCATGAAGAGGAAATTATAGCAGGACCATGCCCCATTGGGGGTGCTTTCTCCCTCCATCTCTGGTGAGTGCAGGAGAAATGGAGGAAAAAGGACTGCAGCTGCGACCCACTGGGGGGGGGGGTACTTTCTGTCTATATGGGCAAGTGCAAGCACAATGTGACACTAAAAATAAACAAAGTAAAATGCAATGCATGGTCTGCATAGTGTCTTAGGGGTTACAGATAATTATGGTAGAAAAAGGGCCACATTTTTCTGGTTAAAAAATATTAAAATTAGTTAAGGATTTGCTTGAGGTCACATAGGAATTAAGAAGAAGAAGAAAAAAAACACACATCTGCAGGACCAGATGATATGCCTTGTAAATGCCATCAACGTTGCTAACTCAAATGGAGTGGTACTTCAGAGAAACAATTTTGGCAATAGCAAACTAGAACACTTTAAACAGATCCTCCCTCTCTGGAGATTATCTCCAATACTAAAGCTAACACCCTTTAAAAAACAAAACTAGGTTTTTCATCTATAATATAAAGGGCTTAATTTATACAGTACTTTAAATTCTAGGTTAGTTCTTAAAAACTACCATTAGAATTTTTGGCTTAAACTTCAATGAGTGGCTCAATTGTGACTCACATCCTGGCCTGGTTGTGAAAATTCCTGCAAGTAATTATAACAAGTTTATATTCAGAAACTCAATCCTGGCTTGAGTACTAATTAATGTAGCAAATCATTTGTATCTTTGGGGCCCCAGTTTCCTATTCAAAGTTCTTTCCAAGTTACACATCACAGGAGTCTTTATGAGGGGAATTATTATTTTTTAAATAATTATTTATTATTATCATTTTTCAATTTGACAAGAAGAGGGAAAGTGAGAAATCAAGCCACCAGGTCCAGGACTTGAACCATGGTTGACCATGGGAGTCCAGCACCTCAACCTCCCCACCACCTGCCAGCCCCATTTATAAGGGGAATTATTTAGCTAGAGATAAAATCCAAGTACTCTGGAATTCACTGTCATTTCTTACCTAAAGTTTAAAAGTAGTCTCTACAAACGCTGTCAAAGAATTCTTGTAGTAAAAATATTCTCAGAATGACTTTCTGCTTTTTTGTGCTAATCTAAGTTGAAAATGAAGAGACCAGCAGTTAATGTAATGGCTATGTCACTGAACTTTCATGTAGTCGACCATGGTTCAAGTCCCAGACCAGGTGGCTTAAACTCACGATGGGCGTGTGTGTGTGCATGCCCAAGATCCCGAGAGCAGAATGGAGGAGAAGGGACTGTAGTGTGGCCATCCCTCCTGGAGGGGTGATTTCTCGTTTTCTGTCTCTCTCTCTCTGGCGAGCGCACACGCCCTATAGCAAAAAAACAAACAAAGAAAAAAAAACCCGCTCCCCCCACCAAAAAAAAGAAAAGAAAAATGGAAGCAATAGAATTTAACTAAAATTTAATTAATTAATTAATTTAGTTAGTTTTAGAGCAATTTTTGCTATTGGAACATGTGCTGGCCAGAGAAACAGAGGACAAAGAGACAGAAAGTACGAAGAAATCACCCACCGGGGGGATGGCCACATCACAATTCCTTCTCTGTTCTTATCTTGGGACCTTGGACATGCGTGCACACACGCCTAGAGTGAATTTTAAACTACTGGGCCCAGGATTCGAATCATGGTCACCTATGTAGGAGTCCAGCGACATAACCATTATGCCATCTGCTTTCATTTTTTTTAAAGAGAGATTTTTGCTATAGGGCATATGCACTCACTAGAGAGACAGAGAGAGACTGAGACAGAAAGCAAGAAATCACCACTCTCCCCAGTGGGGATGGCCACATACAATCCCTTCTCCATTCTCCTCTTGGGATTCTGGGCATGCATGTACACATGCTCAGCATGAGTTTTTTTTTTTGGAGAGGTTTTTGCTATAGGGTGCGAATGCTTGCCAGAAAGACAGAGACAGAGAGAAAGTGAGAAATCACCCCCCCGGGGGGATGGCCATGCCACAATCCCTTCTCTTCCATCTCCTCTTGGGATCTTGGGCATGCATACACATGCTCCCACTGTGAGTTTAAGCCACTGAGTCTGGGATTCGAACCGCAGTCGACTACATGGGAGTTCAGTGACATAGCCATTATGCTAATTGCTGGTGCCATCCCAGCATGAGTTTTAAGCCACAGAACCTGGGACTCAAACCACAGTTGACTACATCGGAGTCCAGCAATGTAACCATAACGCCATCTGCTGGTCCCCCAAAATTTCACTTCTTATAGTTATAAAGTGACTTTTCTTGATTTAACATAAAGATTTAGATCAAGAAGTCATTAGTACAGCAGTAATATTAGAGGTTTTGAAATTATGAGGCTAAAAAGAGCCTTAACCGTGTCCTGGCCTCTAGAAAAGTTTACATTTAAGATCTTTAAACCAAAAAAGGACATATAAATTATAGTCCTAAAGAATGCTGTGCTATAGAACTATGTATGCTTAGCAGTTTATCATAGCATGGATCCCACATCTTCTAAATTGCACTTATTTTTGTTAATTTTTTGTTTGTTTGTTTGTTTGTTTTTAGAGGTTTTTGCTATAGGGCACGTGTGCTAACCAGAAAGACAGAGAGAGACAGAAAGACACACCCTGGCGGGGGTGGGGGATGGTCACACCTCAATCTCTTCTCGTCCATTCTCCTTTTGGGATCTTGGGGCACGCACGCACACGTGCCCGGCGTGAGTTTAAGCCACCAGGTCTGGGACTCAAACTGCAGTCAAATACATGGGAGTCCAGCAACACAGCATTACGCCAACTGCTGATCCCACCCTAAATTGCACTTTTACCTTAGAAATTTTGTAGTACCTTCTGCTTTGTGCAAAGCAACAGGCACATATTAAGGACACAAATAGGAATGCCACAGACAGTAACAGCAGTTTGACACTTTCTGTACTACATCCAAGACATGATTAGGTGTGGGTAGGGAAAAAAAGCAAAAGCAACAGAAAAGTCCAAAAAATTGGTAGCTACCCTGACATGTTAGCAAGTTAACAAGTATAGTGTTAGAGAATAAGGTAAAAGATTTAGGGGAAAAAAATAATCACCCCAGAAGCACAGCTGACTTAAGTTAAACCAGAGTAAGAACCAGTTAGCCTGGTTGTCAACCCTAGGATGTGTGACCAGATGGTAAAAATGGTAAGTTAAAATTCCTTTTTACTATAATAAATATAAGTGGATTTAAAAGGAACCAAAGGGGCAACAGGTGGCACGGTGGACTCCACATAGTTGACCATGGTTTGAGCCCTGGACCAGCAGCTTGGAAAGCACACCAGACACATGTCTGTATGTGCTCAAAATCTCAAGAGGAGAATGGAGAAGGGATTGTAGTATTCCCATCCACCCTAGGGGTGATTTCTCACTTTCGCTCTCTATCCTTCTCCAGTGAATGTACTCACCCACTATGACAAAAAACTAACAACAAAAAAAAAAAAGAGAGAGAGAGAGAGAAAAATAATACATGTGCATGGGGCTGGCAGGTGGTGTAGTGGATAAGGGTGCTGGATTCCCACATGGCTGACCATGGTTCGAGTCCTGGACCTCATGGCTTGCTTTCTCGCTTTCCTTTTCTCTCTCTCTCTCTCTTTCTGGTTAAATTAAAAAATAACAATAACAAATAGACTTAAGTAAGTAATTCTTAAAAAAAGAAATAATACATGTGCATAATCATAGAGAGATAAATAATACACATGCAGAATTATTCTGCAATCATCAGGTGTATATTGGAGCTTGACCAAGTTACTCCTCCATAAGAAAATGTTTTCTCAAAGCCTTGTATAAAACTGTGTCTTGGGTTATCTTTATATTTGTATTATTTTTGCTTAAGGTTTTAGTAGCCTAACTATTTAATACTGTCCATAAATTTTCACAGTTAACATAATTAAAATCAATTAATAAAAACTTCTGAGCTAATGGTTAGAAAAACTATCCCGTTTGGGCATAAAGTAGTTATTTAACAGAAATCCCTTTTGTTGTGAGCCTTTTTTATTTTGAAAAATTGTAGATTCACAGAAAGTTGCAAAAGTAGTACAGAGAGGTCATAGATACCTTTAGCCCAGCTTCCCCAATGGTATCATCCCATATAACTATCAAAATCAGAATACTGATACAGGTAAAATGCACAGACAATGCACTGGTACAATGAGTCAGATTCTGCCAGGTTTTGTTTTTGTTTTTGCTACATGGTGCATGGGCAGACCCGAAACAGAAGAGAAAGAGAAAACACCACTACCCCACCACCACCACCACCACCACCACCATCCCCTGCCTCCTGGTGTAGGATGTCCACACTGTAATCCCATCTCCATTCTCTGGACTGGATGGAGAAATGGAGGAAAACACCATTTGGGTGTTTATAAACACATTTGGGGCATATAAACACAAATGCCCAGCTTATTTTTCAAGCTGCCAGGTCCATATTCAAACTGCTCAATAAGCCACACGGGATCCAGCTGCCTTAACTTCCATGCCACCTGCTATCCCAGATTTCACCAGTTCTACATGTGTCCATTTGTATGTGTACTTCTACACAATTTTATCATGAGGAATTCAGTTCCTTATGAATAGTACTTAACAGCTGTGCTAAGGGCTGACCCCAAACATTGTATTCTTTTGGAAAGATTTTTTTTTTTGAGAGGTTTTTGCTATAGGGTGTGTATACTCGACAGAAAGAGAGACAGAGACAAAGAGACGGAAACTGAGAAATCACCCCCCAGGGGGTATGGCTATGCCACAATCCCTTCTCCATTCTCCTCCCAGGATCTTGGGCATGCACGCGCCCGCGCCTGGTGTGAGTTTAAGTCACCAGGTCCAGGACTAGACTCACAGTCGACTACATGGGAGTCCAGTAACATAGCCATTACGCCAACTGCTGGTCCCTCCAGTGTGAGTTTTAAGCCACTAGGTTTGGGACTTGAACCACGGCCTATTACGTGGGAGTCCAGTGATGTAACCATTACACCATCTGCTAGTCCCAACCAATGCCATTTTTAAAAACTACCTAATGGCTTAGTGCACCTGCCAGAGACAGAGAGAAAAAACACTTCTCAATGGAGAATTGTCACCCACAATCATCCCTTTTCCTCTATTTCTCCATCCAGTCTTGGGTATTCACACATGTGCCAGAGGTGATTTTCAAACCACAGGGGCTGGGATTCCAGCCCAGGTCTACCAAGTGGGATCCAGTTCCCTTTACCACTAGATCAGAAGTAAGTTCACCAATACCAATATTTTTTTTCTTTTTTTGTTTTTGCTTATAGGCTATGTGCAGTAACAGGGGGTAAAGTGAAACATCACCCCCACAAGGGGAAGGCTACATCTCAATTCCTCCTCCAGTCTCCTCTTGGGATTTTTGGCACTACAACAGACGTCTGGTGTGACTGTCAAGCCCAGGGTAGGGACTCAACCACACAGTCAACCATTTGGGATCCAGAGCCTTAACCTAAACACTACCTGCTGGACCACAGATACTATTAAATAAAAGCAAACAACCAACCAACCAACAACAAAAGACAACACTACTAAACAGCAAAACAAGAAGAACAAAAGAAAGCAGGAAAATAACTTATACTAGCCAATGCACTATGAAATCAGATTTCTGAGGAAAATCTAGGTCCTTCGAAAGTGAAATTTCAGGCAGTAAACTGATAACTAGCAGAAAGGAAGATTCAGGTAACAAGGAGTTGGTTAAGGAGCTGAGAAGAGGAAAAAGCATTTTCTTGCACTATAGGAAAAATCTCTAGAGTGCACAGATGATTCCTCAAAACATACAAGAAAATCTGTAAAAAGTTATTGGGGGTCACCTCGCTAGATTAAGAGAAGTTTGAGATATACCTGGCTTGGTTGGCTCTGCTGCTCTGAATATTAAGGTCAAACACTATAAAATGGGATGAAAAGTGGAAACCAGACAAGACATCAAATTCAACAAAAAACACAAACTTCTCGAGGGAAGTCTGGATTTGTAGTGCCGGATGTAATCCCCGAAAAAATAAAAATAAAAAGTGATCTATTGAGAGACCAGCAGATGGTGTAATGGCTATGTCCGCTGGACTCCCATGTCGCTTGGACCACGGTTCAAGTCCCGGACCCGGTGGCTTAAACTCACACTGGGCGCATGTGTGCTCAAGATGCCGAGAGAATGGAGGAGAAGGGATTGCGGCGTGGCCATCCCGGGGGATGATTTCTCTCGGTTTCTGTCTCCGTCTTTCTGGCGAGTGCACGCGCCCTAAAGTAAAAATATTACCCCCCCCCCAAAAAAAAAGAGGGTATACTATCCATAAGCAACAGAGGACCAAGGCTCTCCTTGCTTGCTCTCGTTGATACTTCCTTGGCCAATCTAACCGTCCCTTTTACAAATACAGCGAGTTATTCTAGAAATAAAACTTTAGGATTCCGTGGGAGCACTTGAGGTGAATAGTCCTCCCAGAAAAACCTGCCACCAGACAATGTGGGGAGAGCAAGGAGCTGCTCCGCTGAGTGGATGCTTTTCAAGACAGCTCCCCACCCCCTCGGCCACTCGGGCCTCTCGGAAGGTCCAGCAGGCGTACTGGCTGGAGTCACCGGTCAGCTTCCTGCCCGTCCGCACCCGGCCACAGCGCCTAGGCACCAAAGACCCCACCGCGTCAGACCCGGCGTGCTCCGGGGTGGCAGCCCCTCCAGGGACTCGGCCTCACCTTCCGCGTCTGCTGAGGAGACAAAGGTGAAGTCCCCGTTAGTGGGAACATAGGCCGGGGGCGGGCCCGGCGGCTGCATCTCGGGCCCCTCCGAGACGGCCGTAGTGGAGGAGCGGCTGCGCCCAGGCCCCGAGGCGGCCGCGGCGCCGACCCGCACGCTCGCCCTACGGTGCGGCCTGCGCGCCTGGAGGTGCGGCTAGAAGCGAGGCCGCACCACGACGCCGGCGCTATGACAGGCCCATAACAGTGACAGCGCCGCCGCGATTGGCTCTTTGTAATGTGCTCTCCCATTGGCTCCTGCAGAAAGGTTCTGATTGGGTCTTTCTGATGTTGATTCCGGAAGTTTACCCGGGACAGGAAGTTTACTTGTAATTCGTGGAATACTGGGACGTTCCTTTTCCCCTCGGCTGTTTTTTTTTGTTTTTTTTTTTCTTTTGTCCTCTTGAGTCCCGTCTCTTCCGCCGTTTCTTTGCCTAGCTCCTTCGTTTTTGTTAACTGGGTGGATTAAAACATTTTAGAACTAAGTAGGTTTCTAGAGGTCAATCCCTGCCTAGGAGCCCAAAATCTCGTTGCTCTTAGTCATTAATTGTGTAAGAGCCTGACTATACATTATCTCTGATCCTCAGTTTCCTCACCCGTTAGATGATGGATAATAGAGTGCAGAATATTAATTTTATAAAGCAGATAAAGAGCCAGCAAGTGGCGTAGCGATTAAGGCGATGTACTCTCAAGACTGTGCACTGTTCGAGTCCCAGACCTGGTGGCTTTCTTTCCCCCTCTGTCGCTTGCTCTATCTCTAGGTGAGTGCCATGCCCTATAGCAAATTTTAATAATAATAAATAAAATTAATTATTTTGTTTATAAAATGATAATCTGTGAATTGCTACCCAGAGACTGTGGCTCTGGGCTACCTAAATTCTTTTATAAAAAAAGTAAGAGAGTAATAGAATCAGGGCAGTACCTAACTCTAACTTCTCAAGTGATAGACTTACCAAAGTACAAACTCACCTTTATTATTTTTTGTTTGTTTTTACAATAGGGTGTGCACTCACTGGCAAGAAGACAGCTACTAAGGGAAAATGAGAAATCACCCTTCCCGCAATGGCCACAGTATCCCTTCTCCTCCATTCTCTTCTTGGGACTTGGGACACACCCATACGTGCCAGCATGATTTTCAAGCTTCCCCGTCCAGGACTCAAACCATGGTTGAACGTGTTAGAATCCAGTGCCTTAACTGCCACACCACCTACTGGTCCCAAAACTCATCTGTTTTTTAAATGTTTAAATAAATATAGTTTATTTAAATGTTTAATTAAATATAGTTTATTTAATATCCAAGCTACATAAATGAGGCTTCCAATTCGAAGAAAGTGTAGGGATATAAGACAGAGAAATACACAATGGCTTAGCAAAGAAAGCAAAGGGAAAGCGTGTGTTAAATGGAATGGCAGGAAAGTTTTCTCACAAGAGGTAACAATTAAGTTGATATTAAAGGACAAGTAAAAAATTTTAGGATCATACTTGTGTTATCTCTTGTTACAATTTTTCAATACTTTGGGATCTAAATCACATTTGTTTAAAATTTTCCATTGAAAGCTCTGCTCTTGTCTTTAAGTGATCTGGCCCCAACAGTTTTGGTATCCTTCGAGCAGAGTTTGTTCAGTTTTACTTTTCAGTCAGAATTGTGTAAATTGAACCAGTTGAGATATGTATGGTGTTGGCTATTGTTTCTTCTATTAATCATTGCTTCTCTTTATTTAGAGCACAAAATTAATTTTATCCTCACAATTGATGTGAATGGTCTTCATTACCAGTGTCATCTTCAACATCATTTTACCTCTTCTTACAATGAGTTATCCATTTATAAGTTGCTTATTTCTTTGGGGCATTGTCCCCATCAACTTTTTGTAAAGCATAAATGATTTCATTCCCACCCAAGCTTCACCATAAATTCAGCATTTGTTCTTGTTTCAGTTTGCTCAGAATTCATGTACTCTGATTGAGTCTTTCTTTTCGAAGTGATGTCGTATTCTTTCTAGTGCCTCAAACTAGATTCTACTCACACATGTTGTAATAAGTTTTTTTTTCATTATATGCTATTGCTTATTTAAAATAATTTCCCAAGTCTTTCAATGATTTTTAACAGGCTTTGCTTTTATCATCTCAAATAGCTGTAATAGGTTATTATGAGTTTATTTCGTGAAAAAAAAATTTTTCAAATCAATGTATAGGATTTTTTCATAATACTTTCCATGAACTTTGTTTTCAGGTTTTTGCCATAGGGAGCTTGCACTTGCCAGAGAGGAGAGAGACAAAGAGATACAGAGAGAGGAAAAGTGAGAAATCATCCCCTAGGGAGTATGGCCATACTGCGATCCATTCTCCTCCATTCTCATCTCAGGATTTTGGGAAGGCATATATGCATACATGCCCAGCGTGAGTTTCAACCCGCTAGGTCTGCAACTGGAATCGCAGTTGGCCATGTGGAAATCCAGCTGCTTTAACTACCATGCCACCTGCTAGCCCCCACCATGAACTTTCTGAAGAATTCTATTTTTTTTTTTTTCAATTTGCTAGAGGGCATGTGTGCTTGCTGGATAGAGACCAATTGACTTGAGAGGAGGTGGGCAGAGGAGAGTGGGAAAGTAGTCATAACACAATCCCTCCTCCTCCATTTCTCCTATTGGGATTTCTGTAAAAGAATTATTTTATTGGAACCAGCAGTTAGCATAATGACTATGTTGCTGGACTCCCATGTAGTCGACCACGGTTCGCGTCCCGGACCCAGTGACTTAAAACTCATACCGGGCGCGTGTGCGTGCGTGCCCAAGATCCCGAGAGGAGAATGGAGGAGAAGGAATTGCCATGTGGCCATCCCCCCTGGAGGGTGATTTCTCGCTTTCTGTTTCTCTCTCTCTCTCTGGTGAGTGCACGTACCCTATAGCAAAAACCTCTCCAAAAAAAGAATTATTTTATTTAACTTTTTTATTTTATTTACTTATTTTAATTTGACCAGAGAAGGACATAGTGAGGGGGAGAGAGAGAGAAAGGGGAAGTGAGAAGTGAGAAAGCAAGCTGCCAGGTCCAGGACTCAAACCGTGGTCAGCCACATGGGAGTTCAGCACCCTTAACCACCATGCCACCTGCCGGCCCCTCCTATTGGGATATTGAGGACATGCATTCAATATGTTTTTCAAGCCACTAGGTTTGGGACTCAAACCACACAGTTGACCATTTGAAATCCAGCTGCCCCAATTACCACACCACCAGCTGGCCGTAGCCATCCTCTTATTCCTGCTACTCTATGCTCTCTGGGGTCTCCTCCTTAAATTCTATTTAATACTTAACAGTAATAGGTAATACTTACATGATACTTATAGCTAATATTTTCATGGTTCACTTATAGCTAATACTTCATGTGCCTAGTATCATAGTACATGGGATACATAAATTCATTTACTCCTCATGACAACCTCATGAAGTAGGTACTGTTTTTCCTTTCCTTTACAAAGGAACATGTGACAGAAAAAAAAAAAAAGTTAATCACTTGCCAAAGATCACAACAATACAAAGTGTAGGACCAGGATATGAACCTAGGTAATCTGATTCCAGAGTCCTATCTACAATACTCTGAAACCTCATTTGTTTGTTTGTTTGTTTGTATGCTACTCTTCAGAGTTTGTTGTTTAGCTTTGATGCTTAAGGTTTTGGTTTTTTTCTCTTTTTTTATAATTATGGGGAATTTGGTTTTTAGGCTCTCTACAAGTAAATGAGCCACCTTACAGAGCTCCAGTTGTCAACTAAAGTTGACACGCTAAAAATCAACCTAGAGTAGTCACAACAAAGTGTAGAAGAGAGCAATTTTTGATATAATTATGCAGGTACTGCTAAACTCTAATTAAACATTCTGCCAATGAGAATGTAATCCTAATAAACTTTAGACATCCATTTTTCGAATCCAGACTTTGGGAGCTGAGGTCAGATATTTTCAGATCATGATTCTTGTTTTTGGAATTGTGTCAGGAATTCATGTTCTGCTTAGGTTCTTTAAATAATAGGTTTGTTGACCTTCAAGGAGTGGTACAAATGCTATGTTTAATTTGCTAACCTTACTTTCATGCTGTAAATATTGTTTAAGTTTACTCACATTAACCAACGCCTCAACTCTTAAGTGGTAACTCATGGCTTATTTGTTTTGTTTTTATATTTATAATTTTTTTCTTACCTTAATATTTACTTATTGGAGAAAATAGAAAAAGAAACATCATGCTATTATCCTATTATATTACCTACAGAGGTAACCACTGTTAACATCTTTTTTTTTTTTTTGGAGAGGTTTTTGCTATAGGGCACGTGCACTCTTGGTAAAATAAAAAATCACCCCGCCAGGGCAGATGGCCATGCCACAATCCCTTCTCCATTCTCCTCTCAGGATCCTGGGCACACACACACGCACATGCACCCAGCATGAGTTTAAGCCACCGGGTCCAGGACTTAAACTCGTAGCCAACTACATGGGAGTCCAGCCACATAGCCATTAAGCCAACTGCTGGTTCTATCACTGTTAACATCTTGGTGTGAATTCTTGAGATTCTTTTTCTAAGTATTTTATGTATAAAGTATACTGTTCCATACATATTGTTTTATAATATTAGCATTTTTCAAAGTTACCATAATTTTTTTTTCCCTTATTTTTCTAAAGACAGAGTCTTACTATACCACAGTTATCCTGCCTCAGCCTCTCCAGTAGCTGGGACCATAGGTGTGCAACAGTGTGTCTGGCTCTTAGGGTGGACTGGGACTTAAGCCTAGGTCTCCCATGGGGCCTCAGCCTGCCAAGTAGCATCATCAGTCTGTGTGCTACCAGAACTGGGCCTCATCATATTTTGTCACATTTTAGAGTTGCCTATCATATTATTTAATGGACATATTATAGTTCATTAAAAGCAACTCTAGGGCCAGCAGGTCACATAGCGGTTAAGGCATTGGATTCCCACATGGCCAACCGCAGTTTGATCCCTGGACCTGGTGGCTTGAAACACACTGGACACATGTGCGTGTGCGCCCAAAAATCCCAAGAGGAGAATGAAGGAGAAGAGATTGCATCTTGGTCATCTCCCAGGGGGTTGATTTCCCACTTTCTCTCTCTCTGTCTTTCTACCGAGCACATGAATCCTGTATCAAAAATATCTCTTAAAAAAATAAAGTACAGGGGCCGGCAGGTGGCCTGGTGGTTAAAGGCGCTGGGTTCCCACATGGCCAACAATGGTTCAGGTCCTGGACCTGGTGACTTGCTTTCTCACTTTCTCTTTCTCTCTTTCTCTGTCTCTCTCTCTCTGGTCAAATTTAAAATAATAATAACGATTGGAATTAAATAAAAATTTTTAAAAGTATATATTGCTAACTTGTCCTCCAACAAGTTATCTCCATTGGCAGAGCACAGAAGTACCTCTTTCCCGCATCCCCTGTCAACACTGAATATGATAATTTTTAGAAAACATGCCCGTTTCAGTGCTGGCAGTGCATGGGTTGAGGCAGCTGGACGCCCACATGGCTGACTGCAGTTTGAGTCCCAGATCTGGCAGCTTGCTTTCTTACTTTCCTTCTCTCTTTCTGTCCCGCTGTGATCAACTTCAATTTAAAAAAGACAATGAATATAATTTTTTTTTAATTTTTTTTGGAGAGGGTTTTTTTTTTTTTTGCTATAGACAGAGAGAGACAGAGAGATAGAAAGGGAGAAATCACCCCCCAGGGGGGATGGCCACGCAGCAATCCCTTCTGCTCCATTCTCCTCTCGGGATCTTGGGCATGCACACACACACACCCAGCGTGAGTTTTAAGCCACCGGGTCTGGGACGCAAACCGTAGTCAACTACGTGGGAGTCCAGCGACATAGCCATTACACTAACTGCTGGTCCCATAATGAATATAATTTTTAAAAATGCCAATTTGAAGGGTGCTATGTATCTTACTGTTTCAATTTTCATTTCATTTTATTTATTTATTTTAATAATTATTTAATTTTACTCATTGTCATTATTTTGTTTTTACTTTTTAAAGTTGATTAGAGAGAGACAGAGAGAGAGGGAAAGTAAGAAAGCAAGGTGCCATGTTCGGGTCTCGAACTGCAGTTAACCATTTGGGAGTCCAGTCAATTTAACCACCACACCACACATCAATTTTCATTTCATTTAAATTATGATACTTCAAAGTACTTGAAAAGTAGACAATCTAAAGAGAAGGTGGAAGAGACTCTGGATGGATGTGAATAAAGGAAATGTTTTCAATTTTGAATTAATATTTGTGAGATATCAGTGAGAAACGAATATAATGTAATAAACTATAATATGAAGATAAATAAATCCAAGACTGTACTCAACTGTCATTATATTTTTAGCCAAGAAATCAGATGTGTATACAATAATATGTACAAGAGGAAAGGGCAATAACTCCAGAAAAACTCAATTGGAACCTCCCAGGATTTTTCTAAGTATACTGGGGAGTCAGTGTACACAAACTAGCGTGCCATATCATTGCTAATTCATGCTCACTGGGTTCTGTATCTTGGCAAATGGCACCCTCATTCACCAAGCCATTAAAGCCAGAAACTTGAATGTCATTATCGACTCCTCCCTTTTACTCAGCCCTGGTCTTACTCTGCCTTGTTTGTTCTACCTCTCAAATAGAGCTTGAAAGCACTTTGCCTCGTCTTCATCTCTACTATTCTTATTCAAATTACTAGTACCTCAACTGAACAACTATAATCACTGGTTTTATAATGCAGCAGCTAAAGTAACCCAACACCATCATGCCTTTCCAGGCATAGAATCTTTCAATGGCTTCCCAGTGTACTTAGGATAAAATCCAAACTCCTTACCATTCCCTGCCAACTTCTCCAGCCGCATCTCAAGTCATTCTTCCATCTGCAATCAGTCACCTGACCTTTTCTGACCTCTTAGAATTAGCCAAGCTCTTTATCACCACCGTGCTTCTGTGCTTGCTCCTCTCTGACTGCAAAGTTTGTTCTTGGCATTTTGGGGTCTGGTTTAATCTGTTCTTGAGACCTCAACATAAAATGTCACCTTTTGAGGCCAACAGGTGGCATAGCGGTTAAAGCACTGGACTCCCACATGGTCAACTGCAGTTTGAATCCCAGATCTGGTGGTTTGAAATGCATGCCAGGCGCATCTGTATGCGTGCCCAAAATTCTGAGAAGGGAATGAAAGAGAAGGGACTGTGAAATGGCTGTCCTGCCCCCCCGGGGGCATGATTTCTTGCTTTCTGTCTCTGTCTCTCTGACTGGGACTGTCTCTGGCTGGGACTCGAACCTAAACTACTGTTGGCCATATGGGATCTGGCTCCAGATGCACAATGCTGAGCCACTGTGCCACAAAACCACCCTCTAGGCTTTCCCTTTTTACCCTGTATTACTTCATTGGTTACTGTAGTTAGTAGTTAGTGTTTACCATTAGAAAATACAGCGAACTCAGTCAGGTAGTGGCATGGTGGTTAAGGCAGTTGGATCGGATCGCACATGGCCAACTGTGCAGCTCAAGTCCTGGACCCAGTGGCTTGAAAAACACATTTGGCATATGCATGTGAGTGTCCAAAATCTCCAGAGGAGAATGGGGGAGAAGAGACTGAGGCATGGCCATCCCCACTGGTGGGGGGTTATTTCTCATTTTCTCTTTCTCTGTGTGTCTCTCTCCAGTGACTGCACACTCCCAACAGCAAAAACTAAGCAAAACCAAAACTTCTTTTCTTGAATATTTTTGATTGTTTCAAAAAAAAGAAGTTACACAACACAAAAAAGTCCTTGGTAATCTGTGCAATCACAGGGGAGAGTATGCAAGAATAGCATTTTCAAGAGAAGCACAAAGAGCTTCTCCATTTCTGAGTTGAGTATAAACTGGCTTCCTGTTGTCAGTGACCACAAATACTGAACCTGTGAGTGACAGGGTGAGCCCCTGGCTCTTCACATTCAGGAAGATGTCCCTGTGCACCCACAATGGAGAGGAATGATACTGGTGATCTGCTGCTCTGTGCTAAGTGTTCCCAGAACTTGGAGACTGAGTGTGCACATCTGCTGGAAGTCTTCTGGGATTCAAGGCACAGGAGGTAAGCATGGCCTTGGTGGCAGAAGCAATATGCTTTAACTGACCAAACTGGCTCATTTTACCTTTCTCTCTCTCTCTGTCTCTCAGTCATTAAAATATCTATTGAATGGAGCCAAGCAGGTAGTATGGTGGTTGAGGCACTGAACTCGCACATGGCCAACCGTGGTTTAAGTCCTAGACCTGGCCACTTGCTTTCTCACTTTTCTTCTCTCTCTCTGTTTCTCTCTAGTGAGCGCATGTGCTGTACAGCAAATTAAAATAAATAAATAAATAAAAATAAGGTTTAAAATACTTGCATTTTATTTTTAAATAACTTACTACCAGGGTGCCTGTGCATGCCAGAAAGAGAGAAAAAGGGAAAGGGAAAATGAGAAATCACCCCCCCCCCCAGCAGGGGATGATCACTCTGAAATCCTTTCTCCTCCATTCTCTTCTCTGGATTTTGGGGACACATGCACATATGACTGGTGTGTGTGGTTTTTGTTTTTTGTGTTTTTTCTTGAGAGGTTTTTGCTATAGGGCATGTGCACTCACCAGAAAGACAGAGACAGACAAAGAGACAGAAAGTGAGAAGTCACCCTCCAAGGGTAATAATGGCCACGCCGCAATCCTTTCTCCTCCATCCTCCTCTTGGGATCTTGGGCATGCACGCACATGCGCCCAGCGTGAGTTTAGGCCATTGGGTCCAAGACTCAAACCGCGGTTGACATAGCCATTATGCCAACTGCTGGTCCCTACCTGGTGTGTTTTTCAAACTGCTAGGTCTGGTACATGAACTTTTAGCCAGGAGGATCCAGCTGCCTTAACTACCATGCCACTGGCTGGTGCCTTTTTGTTTTATTTTAAACTACAAAATAAATACATCAACAGTAATAGGATTTATATGCTGTGAATAAACAGGAAACAAAAGATTATTCAGGTTTATTTCAGGCTCTTGCATTTTTAAGTTTCAGGTTCCACTTCTTCCTTGGCTATTTCTCCCTACATTTATCTCTTTCTGAACTGGTGACACTTATGTCCAAACCACTCTTACTATCTTTAAGAAAAACAAAGAATCAAACAGACAAACAAACAAGAAATGGACTGCTTAGCATTTTCCCTTTGCTCATTTATTTATTTATTCATTTTAATTTGATCGGAGAGAGGCAGAGAGAGAGAGAGAGAGGGAGAGAAAGTGAAAGCGCTAGCCACCTTGTGTCTGGGACTTAAAACTCAGTGGGCCATGCAGGAGTCCAGTGCCCTTAATTACCATGCCACCTGCTGACCTCGCATTTCCCCTTTTTGTACACCTTCCTCTCACAGAGCTGGGAGGTCTCAATCTATAGGAACTCATTGTGAAATAGAAAACAAAGGAAAAGAAAATGTACTTTAAAAAGAGTCATTTGCAGGACTAGCAGGTAGCAGGGACTCCCACAATTCGAGTCCCAAATCTAGAGGCTTACTTTGTCACTTTCTCTTTCTCTCTCTGTCTCTTGTCAAATTAGAAAATAATAACAACAAATGGAATTAAATAAGTAGATAATTTTTTTTTTGGAGAGGTTTTTGCTATAGGGTGCGTGTGCTCATCAGACAGACAGAGAGAGACATAGAGACAGAAAGCGAGAAATCACCCCCCAGGGGGGATGGTCACGCCGCAATC